TATGATGGGGAAAGTCAAGTAACTGAGAACCAATTTTCCTGTAAGAAAATAAATATACAGCAAAGAAGAAATAAAACGTGACTACTGACTTGATTCCACTTCCTACCTCTTTACATCCCAATGCTGAACATGTAATGAATCAGTAACAAACTTAGTAAAAAATATAATCAGAACTGTTTCTCAGTTTACTACTTCAGTCATGAACAGCATTTAACTTGTTTTAATCTTTACCAATATTTAAGTCAAACTCTATAGAACTTTAATTTTCAAAACCTAGAGACTAAAAAAAAAGAGAAAGCATTATCCCATGTTTTGCTGTAGGCTTTTCAAGATGCCTTTAAAAAAACAGCCAAGCAAAAAAAAAACACTGAAGACTTTGCCACCCACACCAAATCTAGCTTTTTGCAGATTTTAACTTCTTGATCAACACCAGCTGTCAATGCAACAAGAGGCATTCCTGTAATTTACTTGTACATAAAAAGAACATTCATTTTTGAGTGCTGTAAATTTCGAAGAATATCTGTACATCTTCCATACTATATAGAGATTAAGAAATTACACTGAGGCCTGCCTATCAGGTGGTTGTCATCTGCACCAAATGTGATAAAAAGCATCAACACAGGCAGAAAAACAAAGATTTAACTACCATGATTTATGTCTGCATCCCCATTTGATAGTTTGCTCCCGAAAACCTGAATGCTGACTGCATTCAAAATGCATACATTCACATTTTTCCCTGGTGTCAAGAGTATAATTTTTTTTCATAACATTTTGTGTATTTTTTAGTCACTAGAATTGATCAGCAGAGCACTCAAGAAGGGCTGCAGTTGGAGACCATTCAGAAACAGAAGTTATGCAAAACGTTGTGAAGTGCTTATTGAGGAGCCTCACATTGGAAACACATGCCATTTGTGCACTGGGAGCTGCTGGAGCTGCCAAGGAGCTTCCATGCGGAATGCAAGTTGCTGGTATGCAGCTACAAAAACTTAAATTATTACTTGAGCAACCACCTCCTTCAGGGACCTACATATCACAGAAGGATTTCTTGGTTTGAATGCTGAAATCACACTAAAGGGAACACATGATTCAAAGCACGAACAACTCCCGTCTGTGCCACACTTCCAATTATTAGGGGAGGTCCTAATGATTATATTTCCTTGAATTAGCAGTACATCCTCCTATTTACAAATTGCTCAGTGACAACTCTTCCATTTGGAGCTGACTCATAAACCTTGACTTGTCTGTGCCAGAATTTGCTAGCTTTTTGGACATGTGTTGCAAAAACTCACCACCAGAACTCCTGCCTCCCTCACCCCCCATTTCATATGATGAACACTCAGAGAAAAGTGTTTTATTTCTCGCTTTATGTCACTCAGAACTGCACTGCAGTAGTGCATTAGTAGTGTGCTAGCAACTGCACTGGAGACAACGTGCATATTTACTACATTTCATTTTAGCATAAATGACAATTTACTGCAATCGATTTTATGCATTGCCTCAGAAAAAGAAGAAAAAAAAACCCAGGTTTTAAGAAAAAGTGAAACAAAACCAAATCAGCTCTTATCCCTAATAGAAGTCCCTTCAACATCCTCATTCCACGATAGGTTTAAAAAGTGGCTGTTAAATGTTTACCTGAGCTCTCAGGAAAACTAGGTGAGTTTCTCAAGAATTGCTAAGCATACAGAAAAGATATCCACCTTTGGAAACAGGACCATGGGCTAGACAGACTCCCATCCCCCATCCCAATTGCTGGCAGTCACTCTTGTCCCTTATGTGCCGGCACCCCACCCCCCCCACACCCACACCCTGCTGCTGCCACCACCAACACCAAGGTGGCCATTTCCAAACAAAGGCTGCAGGACCTTGTCAGGGGCAACTTAAGGGACTGCCCGGCCTCTGGACAGAATAGTGTCATGATAGAGATGCCAGGCTTGAAAATACCTCCTGCAGCTCTACAGCTACCACTTATGGGTGACAGTAAGAGTGAAAACGCAAAAGCAAAAATTAACACCTGGAATGATGAAGTCTGCTCCCAAAAGGCTTGTACTGTGCTGCAGTGCTTATCACTTCTCATCACCGCTCCTCCCATGCATCTGGATGGGATAAAGGCAAGCAGGGCTATGCCTCCCTTTTGCCAATATGCACACAGATGTGTATCTATGACTAATTCCACTGAGTGCCATAGGACGACTCACGGACATGAAAGTTAGCTACTCCTTTGTATACAAGCCCAAAGAATCCTGGCCTAAACCAATTTTCTCCCACCACACAAGCTGTAAAAAGCAAAAGACTTCACATAAGGAATGATTATTTTGTATCACCACCACAAATGATTCAAGGAACCTTTAAGCACTGTTTCTGCTTTTCCTCAGAAGCAACCTTAAATCACTCAGTGTAACATAGATTCACAAGTCAGTCAAGACACAAAGAACAATTCAAAGAAAAATCTACAAATAGAACATCATAGTAACTCACAGATTAAAGTATCTTTGCTTATTTTGTATTAAAATAAAATGTTCCAATAAAACGTTCTGTATGCTTACAGAAGAATCACTATGAAAGTAAGTTTGTCAAAGGATAGGCCTAGTATTGTGGTTAATTAGCCACTTGCTAAAAAACAAACAAACATCTCCAGCACATCACTACATTCTTCATTAACAAAGCTGCATACACTTTAAATGCAGCATTTAATAGACAACCCGAGGAAACTACCAGTAATAAGATTATCAGTGTGTTCAAATAAATAATATGCTCTAGTTGAACACCAAGAAATTTTAAAGCAGCTTTCTATTTTTATAGTATGTTCCATCATGGTGCTCAAAACACTTTACAAGCCTTCACAACATTAAGACATCAGCAATGATGGTTAAAGATAACTTTTCTAGAAAATTGTCTTTGATCTTAGAAAGACCAATTTCTGAGAACCAGATCTAGAATCTTTTGGATCTGATACTTCATGAATTCCAAGCACTTCCAGAACTAAACTGATAAAAACTGGTAACCAGCATCTCTGAAAAACAAATCTTAGGTACCTGAAGCTGTATCCACAAGAACTTCAGCATAATTTTGATGGTCATTCAAAGTCTTAGTTAAAAGACTTGCTAATAGAATTTCACTGCCACACTCTAAATGTTTTGTCCTATTCTTCAGCCAATGCCACCTGCAAGATCACTGAGCAGGATGCAACTCTTTAACTACAGTTTTAACAGCATGCTCAAAACTTATGTCTCGTCTAACCTTCCTTCCAACCTCTAATTTTTTATGGCCTGACACAGAAACTCTCTCCAATACTCTTCTCTCCACTTCCAAGCAAGCTAGCTGAACTGCAGTTGCTTATCTTAACAGAGGCGTTTTTCCCACAAAAGAAAGTAGACCAGAGCAAGAATTACACTAAACCTGCAGGACTGTTAGGAGACCTGCCCGACTTTCACCTGCTGCATAATCACTTTAGAAACATGAACCCACAGATTCAAAAAGCTTTCAGTTTCTTCTGTGATTTCAGAGACTACTGGTGGCATTTTTGCTGAGTATTTCAGGTCTGAATTCTACAGCTTCCTTCCACTACTTCTCTCTCCTCTCTCCCCTCCACCCCCTCACCCCCTCCCCCCCCCCGCTAATTCTTCGGTGAATTCCAAGAGAAACGTGGCAGCTCAATGCAGAATACATTCTCTTTTTAGCATTTGCAATGCAAAATTAGGTTTTGTCCGGTACAGAAATCTTGCACAATAGCCTGTGTATACGTATTCGGTCCAACAATGCTGTCCTATGCAATCACTCTGTAATTACACACAGTCATAAAGCTGCTGCTGTTGCTGCTTGGAACTGCAGTCTCGCCCTCTAAACAACCTACTATCAGTCTCCGCATTAGGACATTTCTTTTCTCTCTTCCCCTCCCTCAACTGCTTACTCCAGCATAGATGGCCTTTACACTGCACTCAAAACATGCAGTCAGGATGATATCAAAGTATTACAGAAAATAAGCTCGTTTAAAGAGAATGCCAAGTAAATCTCTGTTAAGCAAAGAGAATATTTCTCCAATTCTGCAGGCTGCAACCACACAAGACTTTACAAACCAAAAATAAATTCTGCTTACGCCTGTTTAAAAAAAAAAAAAAAAAAAAAGTAAGTATTATATAAGACTCTCACATACGTGCGTGGGTGTATTGTCAGCTTTTACTGGTAAACTGCAAAGAATCAGTCCTTTGCAGCTGCTGCCAGAGCAAGAGCTGTACATTTGAGAGCACGAGATTTTCAGAAATTATCTAATAAATTCCTCCCTGCTCCGTCCCTCCTCTGCGTAAATCCCAGCAGAGAAACCCAGCCCTTGCAAGCCGCCGAGGAGCGGCTGAGGCACGCCGTGCTCCCCCCGCCGCACACGCGGGGCTGGAGCTGCCCCTGCCCCGGCACGCAGCCAGCAAAGAGAAACCCACCCCCCCACACACACCCCCTCAAAAAAAAACCAAAAAAAAAAAAAAAAAGAAACCACCCAACCCCAAACCGACCCCCCTCAAATACATTCCGCAGGCAGCTCACCCGGACACAGACACATCCCTGCAGCGCGGTGACCCCCCCGCAGCCCCTCGGAACGGTTCACGGTGAAGCCGGAGGGACGAGCTCGGCAGCCGAGCCTGGCCGCCAGCCACCCCCGGCACCTCCACAGGTACTTTTCTTCCTCATCCTGCAGCCAGCACCCACGAAGCGCGCGCGCACACAACCCCCCCCCTCAAAAAAAAAAAAAAAAAAAAAAAAAAAGCCCCAGGAAAGACACCCCCTCTCCAAAATGGCAGGGAAACGGAAGCAAATCGTGCAGAGAGAAAAAAAAAAAAAAAAAAACAAAAACAAACAAAAACAAACAAAGAAAAACCCCACACACCAACACAAAACACGACGAGGAGGAAAAAAAAAGAAAAAAAAAAAAAAGACACCAAACCAAAACACAAAACAACAACTAAACCCGCGGAAAACAGGAGGGAGGGAAGGAAGAAAACGTGCTTGCTCACCTGCGGAGCGAGGCGCGGCGGCGGGCGCCCGCGGGGGGACGCGGAGCAGTAATTAGCAAAGCGGGGGAAAAAGAAGAAGGAAGGGGGAGGGAAAAAACCCCAAACTTTGTTTCTTTCTCTCCGGGACTCAGGGAAAGCGTCACTTCCTAGTGCGGTAAGTGGGGAGGCTCCCGGGCCCGGGCTCCTCAACTCCTCCTCCTCCTGCCTCCCTCCTCCTCCTCCTCCTCCTTCCCCCCCCCCCCCCGCGGCGCAGCTCCCCGCCGACCCTCAGCGTCTCCTCCTGGCACCCCCCTGCCCTTTTTCACAGATCTCGGCTTGACCTTCTGCGCCTGGTTCGGCTGCTGTTGGCAGTGAAGGAGGGGAAATCCCCAACGAGCGAGGGGCGGGGAGAGAGTTTGCAGCACTGATTTGGAAGCCGAGCCCTGCAAAATCCCGCCGCCTTCCACAGCGGGCAGAACCCGCCGGTTTGGTGCCCCGAGGTCAGCGCCGGCCTCCCCGCCGTGATCAGGCTTCGTGGCCCTTCTGTCTAAAGAAAAACAAACTAACTAAAAGCTTTTTAAGGAACCACTTGTAGCAGAGGGAAACATGGTTCTCCGTTTCCCCCTTTTGGTCCCTGTTTTCACAGCTTGTTTTCTGAAGAAAAAGTGGAAAAAGAGGGAAAGGAGCGAGGATTTGTGTTAGAATCCTCAGGTCATCTCTGTACTGTTGGCTCTTTTACCAAACACCTCAAATTTATTTTCCCAAGAAAACTAAAATTTACTTTCCCCAAAACACATACTGCTGAGGTTTCTAAAAATGTCCAGCTCGTCTCCTGGAATATGGCTTCCTCTGTTGCCTTAGTCTGAGAATAAAAACCAGGGTGCGCTGGCAAATGCAGGCACGCTGCTACTCCTAAGGCAGGAAATAAGCTGCTTCGTCACTGCTCCCCCTGTAGACTGCTCTAATACTCCAGTTTGTTCACAATCAAGGAAACTTTCAAAATATAAAATGTCATTTAGAGAGCGTTCACAGATTATAGACTCTCATTCAGTGAAACATGTCAAACAACACGAAAACGCCAAATGTTTTTCCCTGACATGTATGTTGCCACGTGTTTACCTTCGTCCAGGCTTAGATCACTCAGTGCACACAGTAGCATTGCTTTTTTTTTTTTTTTTTAACAGACCAGTTTCCCTTCTAGCATGTATTGCTTTACAGAGTGAAATAGAAGTAATTTTTGCACTGCTGACTCTAGTTTGCATTTCTTTCACAACAGTTCCTGGCTTCTCTGCAGAACTTTTCACCATAGATGTGTGGAAACAGGAGCCCAGAGAAGTGACTTACCCATGACTACAGAAGGTATCTGATGCATAACCAGGTTTCTCTGATGAGTCCCAGGTCAGTAGTCTAATTACCACACCCAATCTTTTCCTGTCACGGTGCAGAGAATAACAGTGAGACACATCGAAGTGAAGAGCAGAACAGTAGCCACGGGTACCACTGGTAAAGTGTTTTTTCTTTCACAACCAAAGGTATCATTTGATACAGCACTATCTCAATAGGACATTCATGGAAAACTCTTCTGTACTACTATCCATACATTTGCTCTTCTAACTCCTGACAGGAGCAATAGGTCAATAACTATTTAAATCAATACAGAAAGAATATTCATAGCTGTTCACAAATTAGCTAATAAGTAAAGCAAACTTAAATAATTGAACATATAATGACTAAAACTGAAGTCAAAAGCATATAATGGCAAACAATAGTTTAATTTGCTCTAATGAGGACTGAAAAGACAGATTTCATTAAGTGGTGTTATTTCCTTCTCTGTTATGTTAGGCAATCAGTGCCTCCCATGAAACACATCAGATATTGATAAGATTGAAATTGCTTATCTCAGTTTTCATTGGGAAAAAGAAAAACAAAACCACCACTCTTCTGTGGCTGTAAATCCCATTGTAACAGCAAAGTGTAGCTTTTCCTTTCAGCCAGAACCAACGCTTGTTGAACCTCACCTGTTTGGAGTTTGGGAAGCAAATTGATGAGCAGCGTCTCATGTTTCACAATACATAATCATGTAAAAGCAGCAGACAATGACAGAAACGTCATCACCTGGCTACAGAAGCTAACATTGCGCACATTGGGGAGTATGCTTTCTACCCTTGTCTAGGAGACATTTTAACATCGCTGTTTTTTGATAGTTGTCTCCTAAATAATGTATCAGGTAGGTGGGAATCCTTCTTTACTGAGCCAAAGACAACATAATAACCACAAGAACAATGCTGAAACACACTGTAAGATGCAAAATCTATAGGAAAAGATGGTACTTCTTCCTAAACATACCAAATGGGATAAGAACAAAAACGGGCAAGGCTATAGGTGCACCAGCCAGTTTATAGATCTGAAATAGAAGCAGCACGCTGCAAAGACACCATGGCACGAGGGGTGGTTATAGAGTTGTACGCTACTGTTTATCCTACTGAGCAATAAACAGTTTTATGAAGTGTTTTGTAAAGATTTTACCATTATGCACTCTTCAACTGTTTCTCTGTTCCTCGTATTACACAGTCCTTACATCTCCTCCAGAACTAGCCACCATAATCTTCCTTGCAGTAGCAGCTTTTGTTATGCTTTTGTAAGTTTTTTTGTCTTTCTCCTTTTCTCAGCATATGCTGAGACTGCACGCAGGCTGCACTTCCATCAGTTTTACAATAACAAAATTTAATACACTTCTAATCCCTGTTATGTGATTATTTTATTACGATGTTGAAGAAGGAGATTGGAAGATTTCCTAGCTATCGCTATATACAAATCTTAGGTTTCTTCAGCTTGTACAGACACATCTTGTGCTGTAAGAACATCGACTCATATCATTAATAAACTGGATTGCACTGAGTCAGAATTTGGATTAAAGCCTCTGCTTTGCATACTTAGGTTGGCGGAACTGGGACATAAGCTCAGTAGGTGGCACTCTCTTCACCAAGCCAGAGAAGAGCCAGTGCCCCCTCTTTCCAGCAGTCTCGAGTGGAACTAGTGCTCCAGCATCATGGGTGACAACATGGAGCATTAGTTCTCCTTGAAATTAAGTCTAAAATGAAGGCCCTAATCCCTATAGCTAGTAAGAAAATAATTACACTCTTTGTAATTAAAGTTGCAGATTCCAATAAACCCAAAACTTCCATCTCATAATCACACCGAAATTTCCTCTAAAATGTCAATTGGATGTCATATTTTTCTTTAAAAACAAATGACAGCATAAACCAGTAATAAATAGCTGCTGTGTTTATCCCACAAATACATTTAATGCTCGAGGGCAGGGCTGCCCCTAGACAAGCTCGAGAATGGACTGACGGGAACCACCTGAAGTCCAACACAGCAACAGAAAGCCCAGCACTTTGGCCAGACTAACCTTTTTAGGTTAGTCTGCATTAGTTAGGTTAGTCCCTCCCATTGCACAAGCTGGGACCCACAGGCCACTTGGCACCACCGATTAAGATCTGGGGGTCCTGAGGGACAGTGGGGTAAACACCAGACAGCAGTGAAGGCGAACAGCATCCCGGACTGTATGAAGAAAAACAGAGCTAGGTCAAGGGAAATGATTATTTCACTTTACTCATCGTTTGTTGGACTGCATCTGGAATACTGTGTCCACTTTTGGGCATCCCAGTACAAGAAATATGTTGATTATCTTAAGCCAGTAGAAAGCCAAGATGGTCTGGGGCTGGTACAGATATCCTCTGCAAGGAGAGGCTGAGGGAAATTGGTCTTATCTAGTGTGGACTGGGGAACAGGTAAGAGAGATTTAATAACAGCCTTCCAGTAGCTACAAGGCTAGATCTTTACCTACAAGAGAAGGCAAAGCCAAGCTCTTTATTGATGTGCACAGTGGGAGAAAGACAATAGTCATCAACTGTAACAGTGGCTCTTCAAACCAGCTAGTAAGCATAGTGAAGTGATGCAACAGGTTGCCACAAGAGGCTGTGGAATTTCTTTTCTTGGAAGTTTCCAACACCCGACCAAGAAAGCCCTGAATAAGGTGCTCTGAATTCAGTGTTGACCCTGCTTTGAGCAGCCGGCTAAGCTGGTGACCTTCCAAAATCCCCTCCAACCTCGGTGGTTCTATAATTCAAGAAGCAATCCCCTTAACTCACGTAAGAGAAGGCTTAATTAAATGATAGTAAAATAGTTTGAAAAAAATCTTATAGGAAATCCAAGTGATTGTATGTGTTTCAGGTTGGTTAGGCTTTAGTTTTAAGGTTGTGAATTTAGAAGACCATCAGCATAAATACAAAGAAACCCATTCCCTCACAGTCAGCATTTTTTAGCTGCATTATTACAGAAGAAAATGCTTGTAAAAATGCATTTTTCTTTTTATACAAAATTAATTACTCCTTACTACAGAGAAATTTGAATTTCCCCAATATCAATGTCTGCCTCCCATCTTTGTCAGAATTAAAATGACACACCCAAGATGTTACATTTGATTATTAATTTAGGGTACAACTTAATGCAGTCAGAATGTTTGGAAAGAAGAGGTTTGTCTTTTTTTTTAAAGAGTTTGCAAAAAGAAAAAAAAAAGATCTTGCATATTTATTTTACTCTTCATATCTGAGTTTAAAATAAAACACTGAATTTGCTTTATGAACTTGAGCAAGATTTAGCTTCTTTGATCTCCTCAGGGAAGTATACATGCATTTATTTATAGAGCATGTGTGTATAAATACGTATGTATAGACATACAGACATGAAGTGTCATGAACTGACTCCCTGAGAACCAGGATGAGACCTTGTTACATGAGGAAAAGGGAGGGACACTGTGGTTGAGAGAAAAAAACACATGAAGAAAAAAAAAAAGTTTTTCACACTGCTTAAACATTACTGAAAGAAGCTCAGACACTGTGGTGAGAATGACAGTGTAAGAATCTACAAAGTACCAAATTTTACAGCATGCTGCAAAACAAGACTGCTGAAACTTTCTTGCTAATTTTGATAGGTTGTGTAGCCTTAAAAACACTTGGAAGTCCTTTCTGCATTTACTATCACTTTTCTCAGAATCCCACATTCTTTCTTTGTTTGTTTTACAAACAATAGTCTGTGGTAACATTAGTCATTGTTTACACTTGAGAAAAAAACATATGGAGAAGCTAAGTGGTGAGCTGAAGGCCACAGGGAGATTCAATAGCTGAGCTTTGG